TTTGTACCACCTTTGGTCATGTTGCACCAGGGATTCTTTGCATCCGATCTTTTTGCTCTCACATATGACTCTCCTTCCGCTCCTACCCATTTTGCAAAACTAGTAAAATTACTTAGTCGAACACCAAATAAATATGTGCAGAAAGGATCTCCTGGCATGGCTAAGAATAAACAAAAGAAATTCACCCCAGTAGCATTAGCCCAAGTAAGCTGCATATTGTGTTAATGCCATCCTAGCAGGTAAATTTCTTCTGCACTACAGATGTTGCCACATATTACAAGTAACAGAGGGAAAACCCCAAAAACCCGCATATATAATTTGAAACTGTTCCTCATCCTTATCCTGTTTTGTTTTGGCTTTTCTCTTCCCACATCTGTTTTGTTTGTACCCACTGATCAGGTCTAATTCCCCAAGTCTCAGGGATAAATATTCCTTTCCCATATTGAATGGGAATCCCACATTCAATATCTTTGATCTTCTTTTCCCTTTCTCTTTGCTTGAGCCTTCGGAGTTCTCTATGATACCACTGGATAACCTGCCCCAATTGTCTCTGAGATTCAAAGAAACTTAATGCCTCCTGACAGGATTCATGGGAATTAACTGTTATTCCTATTACCTTGGATAACACCACTGAGGTATTAAATTCTAGAGAGTGCTGATGTCTGCACTCACTCTATACACCTTGGGAAGCTCCTTCCTCTAAACTGATACCACCTGTCTAATCCACACCCCACACACTCTAACGTCACCCAGGGATAGCAAATGTGTTCACAGTTCTGAGGGTACTTGATGTTTTCAGGTATCACTGTTGGTTCATTAGTGACTGTTGTGGTTGAGGGTCTTGTTGAGGTGAAACAGGTGAAGAAACAGGAATGGCCTTAGCGAGGGTTTCATAGAGATGTTTATTTCAGCCACGCATGATCACAGTCCCGGAGTTCAAAGGCAAAGGCAAGGGCAATGGTCTGGGGCTTTAGGTTAAATACATGGGGGTTTTACAAGGGTGTGGTTAGAGTGTAGGGGCCAACAGGGAACCAGGGTGGGAGTGACTAAAAGGCTGACAGAGAGAGGGCAGGGGGCTGTCCCAAGGAAGAGAACAAAGGTTGTCTTTACGTGATAGAACAGGATTCGTTACCAAAAGGAGATAACTGAGAGGCTTCTATCTTTCTAACTGGGAGCGCCTTTCAAGGTCTCCACAAGTAACGTTAGGGATCTGAGTGTCCTTCTCAAGCCAAGGGTGAACCCATTTCGCTGGTATCCATCGGGGTCCTTTGTCTGTAATGACACAAGCATAGCCCCTGCCTAACATTAATAGTTCTCCAGGTCCTTCCCATAACCCTAGGATTCATAGGATTCTTAAAACGAACTTTTGGCAGGTGCGGCATCAAAACAGAATCTGGCTGCAAACCCGAGTAATGTGTTAATGCTGGTGGATCACTAAGAGTTATCTACTAACCGCAGATGATTCATAACATAAACTGCGTTCAGCACTATGTCCTGTGGGCTCAGCCCATCCTCCCCCATGTTCTGTTTATCAAGCAGCCCTTTCAGTACCTGATGTGTTCTTTCAATAATAGCTGCCCTGTGGAGATACCTGGAATACCTGTGCTATGCTTCAGTCCCCAAGGAGCTAAGAAATCTTGGGTCTGTCAGGCTATGTATCCTGACACATTATCTGTTTTGATTTCTTGAGTCAAGCCCATTATGGAAAACAGCCTCGCCAGTGTTGAATGACAAAATGAGACCCTCCTGTCATAGGAGTGGCCCAAACCATGGTGGAAAAGGTATCTACAGTTACATGAAGGTACTTAAAGCGACCAAAAGGAGTGAATCATTAAAAAAACCGGTATAATCACGGACCAAGACCCTCTAACTAATTAAAGTTAGAAAGTGGTATGTTTATTCACCGGCGGGCGGCACGAGAGTCACCTCCGAAAGGCGTGACCACCCTGAACAAGGTTCTTTGCCATCTATTTATTCCCCAAGATGTTACATACAATACATATGCATAACCCCAGTACCTCCCATCCCCATCCCATATTAAAATGAGCCCATTAGTCCTTCACGCGTGCACAGTTCTTCTCTTGAATTGGGTCCGTGGTCTCGAAATGGGTCAGTGGTCTCGAAGGATGAAGTCAGGAGAGTCTTCATCAGGTCTTGGTGACCCTCTGGCACGATCCAAGGCCCCGTGCTTCATGGTTAACAGTTTACTTATTTTACGTTCTTCTGTATGTAAATTTATAATAGCAGATAATTATACCAATTAGCTCTAGCCTAAGCATCTAGTAATTATTAACCTACCATTTACCTACCTAACTTACATCTTGGTCATGGAAACTACTACTCTTAGCAAAAATTCTAACTTTTTTTAAACCATGATTCAGGAGCATAGGTATTCACATCAGTTTGCCACAATTGCAGAGGCCCTAAGCCACGAAGATTAACTGCAGGATCTAATCCTCCAAGCATACCCTGGCATTGAGGACAAGTTGTGACAATTCCTTGAGTGTCCTGCAGTGGTATCCTGAATTGTTTGTGTAAAACTTTTGCATTTTGATGAAAAAGCTAATGAGCCCTTCTGGTTCGGGCAAACTTACCAATGTTGGGCAAAGCAGAGGCCCAAAGTGGTGCAACCAATTGGTCAGCCTTCTCATTTCCTAAGACCAGACCTTCTGTTAATCCAGAGTAACTCTGTATATGAGTGGTAAAATAATCTTGCCTGCGAGAATTAAGCAACTGCCACAGCTGCAAAGAGTTGCCACAACTGCTGGTTTTGAATTTCTTTCAGTATTGCTCCTCCATGCTTTCAACCACACCTACTACATAGAGGGAATCAGAAACAATGTTATGTTAACAGGATCATTTGGCCACTTTTCAAATACCCTGATGACAATGCCTAACTCAAGAACCTGTAAAGAGTCCCCTGGTCCCTCAAGGATTTCACTGAATCATTTGCTTTTGTCCTGCCAAGTAAGACCTGGTTTAGAAGTCTTTCAACTGGCATCAGTAAAAACCATGAGGCCTTCTAAAAGTTGCTTTGATAGCCACGGTATTTCCTCGACCTGTTGATGCAAAGAGAAAAGCTTATGAGGGGGAGAATGAGTGCTAATGAGACCTGGAAAGTTTAACAATGCCCATTGCAAGCAACCCTTGGTTAATGGAAGAATGGACTCCCTTCAGAGACTAAATCCAGAGTCTGATGGCTTCATAACCATGATGTATCACATCGTGGAGTCAACAACATGCAGGAACAAAGGACTTCCGAACAACAAATCAATGTGATTATGCAGAGAAGCTGATTTATTGTTTACCTTATACTTTCTAAAACTACTGTCCACACAATCACACATTACTTGATTGGTGCCTCTATCTTGTCCACCCACTCTGCACACACCTTGAAGGAAATATGACTGGTTACAGTCCAGCGCTTCACTGCCCACCTTTATCTTGGTTCTTCTAATCTTGGTATTCTGTTTTTCAGCTTCTTCTCTCCCAATTTAGCACAATTTATGTTTCAGTAGCTTTGGCGAATTCCAGAGTGTTTGATAAAACAGCAGAAAAACAGCTAAAAATGGCTTAGCTGGTACACCTGGTATAAGCTATGGCCTAAACTATTCAGATACATTGCTACACTCATTCCCTGTCTTTTGCACCTTTAATGTTTCCTGTCCTTTTACGTCCTCACATCTCCCACCATTTTTTCCCCCTCACACTTCTGTGCCATCACTTTTGCCACCATTTTTTCGTTCACATTTCCCACCATTTTCTCCCTTTCTGTTTCACACCCTTTTTTTTCTCTCATTTCCTGTCCTTTTGGCTCATTTCCTGTCCTTTTTTACCTTCCATTTCCCACCATTTGGTCCCCTCATGTTTCCTGCCCTTTTGACCCTTCATTTTTCCCACCCTTTCCTCCTCACAATTCTGGCCCAAAATTCTTGCTTTTCCTCCCAAGTCTCTCTTTAACATAATTGCTCCATATTGCTTCAAAAATTGTCCACTATACTCAAAGGCAGAGCTACCTGTGTGGTGCAGTCATTATAATTTCTATAATAGATTTTTAAATATTTTATTTAAAAGCCAATATATATCTAATTAATATGTATAATATATTCATAATGTATATAATTTATATACATGAGATAGTATATATAATTTTTATATTATTTACTATATAATGTTTATATATTATAATTCTAATATATAATCCAAATATATTGTTTACTTTTATAAATTATATATAGAAGGTAATTAACTTTCTAGAATTGTAGGTGGTTCTAAAAGGTCTGTGTCTGAGTTGGATCAAACCACACTAACTCCTCTCCAATGAATTTAGACACCCAGATCCAAGTGGTCAGGATCCTTCTTTCTGGCCTGCAATATTTCAGATTCTGTGACAGAAGCAGAGCCCACATAAGCCCCCGTGTCTGCACACAAGGAGCCATCATAAGGCCCAGGAAGATGAGCAGATGCATCAGGGGCATGGGGCTGTGTGCAGGGATGCAGTCCACCACATCTTCTCTTGCCTTTCTGCTGACAGATGAACTTGAAGTGGCTGCAGAGGCCATCCAGAGCCATAAAGCAGCCTTCTCTGTCTTTAATGACTTGAAAAGATGTCCCAGCAGCTTCCCCAGGAATGGAATCTGGATCTCTCCTCAGGCAGCACCTCTGTCCTCATTTTGACCAGCCTGGGGGAGGCAGGCAGAAGAACTGAAGGGCTGAAGGCAGGCAGCTCAGCCTCTTAGCAGGAGCCAGGAGGGGACAGGCCACAATCCTGGGGTTATTCTGGACCACCTCACACCATGCTCAGGGGCTGTGGGGAATGGGTCCCTACCAGTCAGGGCGATGGTGGAGTCAGTGGTCATGGAAATGCTGGGTTGCACTTTGAGAAGGACCTTAGAAAGCCAGGGCATCCTTTCCACGCCTCATGATTCAGCAGGTGTTTGAGTTTGTGCCCCTGTCAAGCCTTATGTGAAGCTCCCTCTCTGCTCAGCAGCACCAGCAGCACAGTGTGTGCAGGCAGAATCCTGATCTTTGCTGCTTCCTTGGAGATTTCAGGTTAAAGCTGGTCTGAGCTGCCAGGCAACAAATGGAGGCATCCTTCTCTCTTGCTTGAAGTATTTGAAGCTCTACAACAGAAACAAAGCCCAGATGAGCCCCTGTGTGTGCAGAGACCACTCAGCTCCCCCGAGGCCTGGCTCCCCACTCACCCAAGAGGATCTCAGCCAGGGTGTCCTCACTCTGCTCTCTCAGGTGCCGCGCAGCCAGCCCTGGGCACAGAGCTCCATCAGCCCCTGCTCCCCAGCGTGCTCCCAGCAGCGTGGCCCCCGGCCCTGCCTGACCCCCTCAGCAGCCCAGGGTGGCACTGGGTAAGGTGACCACCAAAGCCACTCACCTATGTGAGCACGGCAGGCACAGGGAGGCCAAGGCCCTGCCCATGGCAGCACGAGGCTGCCCCAAGAGGGGGCCTGGGGACCAGGACTCACCAACGAGCCTGAGGGCCGCCTCTCGAATGGGGGCCTGAGGGCTCAGCAGGTAGGGCTGGCTGTCCCACACCAACCGTTCAGCCCTGCTCCTGTCCTTGGCCAGCTAGAGAGAGCATAGGGGTGTGGACATTTCTAAGAGACCCCCAGCTGGCCAGAGCAGCCCCTCCTGCCAGCACCTATGTGGGCTCAGAGCCCTCCCTCATGCTGGGGCCATGGGTGTGGAGGAGGCTGCTCTTCTTGAGATAAGGGCAAGGGTGCAGCTTCAGTCTTTGGGCCCTGAGCCACAGCAGCCCAGGGGAGGCCCAGCTGGAGAGCTCACAGCCCCAGCATTGGTGTGGTGGTGTAAGAGACGGTCCGAAGTTTCCCCTTGTTTGCCTCACGACCGTCACAAGAAAACACCTGTGGACCCCACTCGCCTCAGACAGGAGTTCTGGCCTGGTCGGCTTTGGGCAGGAGTTCTGGCCTGGTTGAGATGGATGCTTGCCCAGATCCATCAATTTCCTGCTGCTGGGGCACTCAGGGGTTCTGGCTGAGCAGGAAAGGTGAGCCTGTGCTGGGAGCTTTTCCTGGCTGGAGCAAAGGCTCGGCACACAGAGACCTTGCGGGCACTGTGCCCTGGGCCAGCAGGGATTGTGCCACTGGAGCCGATCATAAATTTCTTCCCTCCAGCAGCTTAAGGACACAGAAGATGGAGAAGGCAGAGCTGACTCTCAGCTTTCTGAAGTCTTCTGAAAGGATCCTGTGTGTGAAGCACCCTGGGTCCAAAATGGTCCATTCTGGTCCATACTGTTCTATTCTGTTCCATACTAGGCCATTCTAGACCATACTGATTTATTCCTGTCCATACTCATCCATCCTGGTTTATACCGGTCCATATTTATCCATACTGGCCCATACAGGTTTATACTGGTCCATGCTGTTCCATATTGGTCCATAAAGGTCCATAGTGGTCCATACTAGCCCATACTTGTCCATACTTTTTATACTTGTCCATACTGGTTTACATTGGTCCATACTGGTCCTATCAAGTCCATACTGATTTATAGCGGTCCATGCTGTATTATACTGGTCCATATTGGTCTATACCAGTCCATGCCAGTTTATACTGGTCCATACTGGTCCATATACTCGGTACTGGTTTATAGTGATCTATACCAGTCCATACTGGTCCATACTGATGTATACTGGTTTATACTTGTGATAAATGTGATTCGTGCTAATTAAATTATAACTATATTAGCAAAATTGTATTTAGATCAATAGAAGACTATTGTTACCAAGTGAAAGGGGGAGAGATGGGTGAGACAGGATAAAAGACATCTTCCAGATGTTGGGAGTTGAAGAAGGAGGTTAGAAGAAAGTCAGATAAGAATAGTAGAAGGACGAAGGTCTGATAAGCAGCATCTAGAAATACAGCTTCAACCTTGAAGCTGTCAAAAATGGAATGATTCCAAGCATGGGACTTAATTAAAGTCATGTTATGGAAAACATCTGCTCAGTCACACAGGGCGCCTGCGCTACCTGCAGGTCACACCTCGGTCACTGATGAAGATGATGAGCCTTCACTGGAAATAAGACCCTTAAAAGGATAAGAGACCCCCTAACCCATTAGTAGAGCATGCGCCGTGCAGTATAGTTACATAAATTTTAGGAATAGAAACTAGGAGGAGCTTTCTAGAAACTTCTCTAGCCTACAGTATATAAGTGGGATTGTTAGCCTGGATGCTTTGATACGTGAGGAATGGCGAGCCACTCCCCGTATCCCCGGTCGGAGGGGGGCCCCTCCCCGGTCGGTTTTGCTTATGCTTTATACGAACCTCAATTATACTAAATTACTTACTGCCAAAATTTGTATATTCTTAAATATATACACTTTGATTGTTTCATCTCCAATACTTTAATTGTCATCTCCAATACTTTGATTGTATTCATTTTGTTACTATTAAAAACTTACTATTAAATTTAATCTTGTTGCTTGATAAATTGGGAAAAATAGAACATCATTCATAACATACTGGTTCATACTTTTTTATACTGGTCTATACTGGTCCATACCAATCAATAGTGGTTTATACTGGTCCACAATGATCCATCCTGGTGGATGGGATAGGGGTTTGGAGGAAAAAAATGGGCTTTGGGGAAAAAAATCCAGGTTTTTGCCTGAAAAACGAGGATTCGGGGGTATAAACATGGGGATTTGGGGGGATTTTGCTCTCCAAAATGGCTGCAGGCTAAGCCCCGCCCCCTCTCCATTTCCCTCAGGCCTATTGGCTCCTGTCAGGCTCCACCCTGCCACCTCTGCCAATTGAGTGGCGCCCCCTGGTGGTGCGGTGGGGGCAGCGGTTCCATGTGGGTGCAGCCTTGCCCCGTCACCTGCACGAGGGCATCGTCCTCTTCCTGGAGCTGGCCCTGAGTGAGGGATTTGGGGGGAATTCGAGGGATTAGGGGGGGAAATCTAGGATTTAGGGGGATTTGGGGAATTTGGCAGCGATTTGGGCAGGATTTGGGTATTTGGGGGGATTTGGGGTCATTTTGGGGGGAATTTTCAGGGGTTTTGGGACAATTCTTGGAACAATTTGTGAGGCTTTTGGGAAAAATTGGGGGATTTTTAGGAATTTTTTTAGGAGACTTTTTGGTGCCTTTTGGGACAATTCTGGGAAAATTTGGGAACATTTGAGGGATTTTGGATCATTCTTAGGGGGAATATTGGTAGGGTATTTGGGGGGTTTTTCGACACTTTTGGGACATTTTTAGGGAATTTTGGGAGAATTTGGGGAGAATCTGGGGGGATTTTGGATCATTTTTAGGTGGAATTTTGAGCATAATTTTGCTCAAATTAAGGGAGCTTCTCTGCCTCAGCTAGCCAGAAAAACTAACCAAGAGCAAAGGAGAGCTCTCTCTCTCTCTCGCTGTCCACTGCAGACAGCACAGTCTGCGTGCAGGAATGTGGGGAAGGCAGTGCAGTCTCTGATAACAAACTCTGCACTTCTTCTTCTTCCCCCCCTTCACTCCTGGAACCAGTCTTAAAGTTGCAGAATTTAATATTCAACACCAACAGAACAAACGATTTGGGGATACAGGCATCATACAGTCACCCCAAGACATTCCACCCCTTATCCGCATATCATCAGCTTACTACCATATCTGATACATACTCTAATTCTATAAACACATACATCATACACACACATATATATATATACAAGATATACCTATATATATACAAGCTATAGACAGACAAGGACAGTGACATCCAATAGCAATATGGTTCTCACCCCACAATCAGATCTCCCTGAGGTACACATCGTGTTGTCCCATCTCTCTGCATTATCCACCATGTGCAACCTGAATGGGTTTGTCTGTATTTGAGATAGAATTGATCCAAACTGTCTTCCCTAACAAACCTCTGGCAGGCACCACTGGCACTTTGTCTCCGTGTGCTGTACTCAAGGACTCAATGGTGTCTGTGCCTGGGGATGAACCAGGGACCTTTCGTGTCAGGCGAACGTGATCACCACTACACTACAGAAAAGCTGGGAAAAATTTGAAACATTTGGGGGATTTGGGGTCATTTTTGGGGGAATTTTGGATTTTTTTTTTTTATTTTTGGGACAGTTTTTGGGTAATACTAGGCAAATTTTGTGGCATTTTGAGACATTTTTAGGCCAATTTAGGGATAATTTGGGACAATTTGGGGGTAATTTGCGGGAATTTGGGGAATTTTGGGGGATTTGTGGTCATTTTTGTGGGGAGTTTTGGGACAAATTTTAGGGAATTTAGGGGATTTTTTTGGAATTTGGGGATTTTTAGACATCTTTAAGAGAAAATTCAGTGAATTGTAGGAAAATTTGGAGGATTGTTGGGGCATTTTTAGGGGAATTTGAGGATAATTTGGGACAATTTTGGGGGAATTTTGGGAGAATCTTGAGGAGTTTTGGGACTATTTTGGAGGATTTTGGTTCATTTTTAGGGGGAATTTTGGAGATAATTTTGGGGGGTTGAGGAAATTCTGGGAAATTTGGGGGATTTTGAGACAGTTCAAGGGGAATTTGGGGAAATTTAGGGATTTTTGGGACAATTTTCGGGACAGTTTTTGGGGAATTTTGGGGAATTTTTAGGTGGACTTTTGTGGATCATTTGGGGTGATTTTTGGAAAATTTGGGAAATTTTGAGGGATTTTGGGGGGAATTTTCAGGATTTTTTTATTTTGGGGACATTTTGGGGGGAATTTTGGGAAAATTTGGGGAGATTTTTAGGAATTTTGGAGGATTTTTGGGACGATTTTTGCAGAATTTAAGGAAAATTTGGGACTTCTTTGGGAAATTTGGGGGGATTTGGGATAATTTTTAAGGACAATTTTTAGGGAAAATTTGGGAGAATTTTGAGGGCTTTTGAGTCATTTTTAGGGGGAATTCTAAGGATAATTGGGGACAGTCTTGGGAAATTTGGGGGAAAATTGAGGGATTTGGGGTCATTTAGGGGAGAATTTTGTGGAATTTTGGGGGATTTGGGGCATTTTTAGTTTTTTTAAATTGCATTTTTTAGGGGGAAAATTTGGGGGATTTTCAGGGATTTTTGGGACATTTTTAAGGGAATTTGGGGATAATTTGGGACAATGTTGGAAAAAATTGGGAAAATTGAGGGATTTGGGGTCATTTTTGAGGAAATTCGGGGGAATTTTAGGGGGTTTTGGGTCATTTTTGGGGAAATTTGGGGGATTATTTTGGGGGAATTTTGGGGATTTTGGGGACAATTTTTGGAATTTTGTGGAATTTTGAGGGGATTTTGGGTCATTTTTTGGTGGAATTTGGGGAAGTTTTTAGGGGATAATTTAGGGAATTTGGGGAAAAATTTGGAAAATTTGATGGATTATGGGTCATTTTAGGGGGAATTTGGGGGGTTTGGGGACAGTTTTAGGGATTTTTTCTTTTATTTTTGGGTCGTTTTGGGGGTTTGGGGAAGTTTTTAGGAATCGTGGGGGATTTTTTGGGACAATTCTGGGGGAATCCTGGGAAAATTTGGGAGAATTTGGGGAAATTCTGGGTTATTTTTGGGGACTTTTGGGATAATTTGGGGGGGAATTTTGGG